GGCTTCCCTAATGGAGTCATGGAGCCAAGTCTGCTTTCTCAGGACAAGGTCAACCCTAACACCCCAGGCACCACAGCCAGAGGGTTAGGGTTTGCTAGGACATTGAGTTCATACAAATATTTCAGTGACATATGATAAGAAAAAGTAAACAGATATGACATATGCAGCTAAAAAAGGTGATCAAAACAGTAACAATATAAAATTGTTATCTGTTCTATTCTATTATCTATCTGTTAATAACCTTTTAACAGCCTCCCCAATAAAGTACAATTTAGCTATACAATAGTTAACAAGGACAAATAATAAAAATGTGTTCCCCATAATTACATTAATTAAGGAAGCAAATAGAAACAAATGAAATTATGGTTTCAAAATGATTGCAGATAATCAAGTAGACAGAGCTGTGACACAAGGGAAAAATAATAATTTAGTGTCGAGGAATATTGTTTGACATTTACAAGGTGATATGATTTGAAAATAAAAGGTCTATCTTTTCATGGACCATGGTGCCATCTAGAGGACGCTGAACATCAGGCACAATATGGCCCTCATTTATAGATTACATGTTAGTGTTGTTATTTGCTCTGTGTAAATAGTGAGGCTTGTGCTTGGTCATGCAAGCTTCTTTTTTTTTTGTTGGAGAGGATTAAGGGGAATTATTGGATATGAAACCCTATAGGCTTAGCTGGTCTTTGACACTGGCACCTTATGGAGCATTATGATATGGTGCCACCTACTGTTGGAGCACTTCCTCTATAGCTGAACAGAGTGCAATCAGAGCAGCAATGCTATATTGATCTAATCCAATTAAACCGCTACAAAGGTCAAAACCGATACAATTTGATAAGTGAGTGTGTACGTGTGTGTGTGTGTTTCTGTGCTCTATATTCTCACCCTTCGCCACCTGATAAGAATAAAAGGGGGAAAGGTTATATTCATGCCATCCCTCACCTCACAGATGATTTGCAGCCCCTGGCTCCTCCCTCACAAAGATTTACTGTACATGGAATTTTTGCTGACATGGTACTCTTCGGCCACTGCGTCTCAGATATATAGCAAACCATAATTTGGAGGTGTAAAATGGGTATAAAACCTGTATTAATTATTTAATCGTGGTTCTAAGTGCTGCCTTTTAGTCCACACCAGGATGTCATCCCCCTCTATTGCAGGGGATCGTTATATCACTCATTTGTCACAGAAAAGTTACAATCAAGAAATGGTAAATCAGAGCAAACCTAGACTTTTTTATTAGTGTCATTAACTATTACTTTTATTAATTTTTCACCCCATTTAATGTAAGTGAACTGCTAATTGCATTTAAATCTCAGTTTTTTTAGCGCTAGACCCAGTTTAAGGCCAACTGGAATACAAATTAGTGATGAATATGCAAAACCACATACAGGATACGAGACTGAAGAAATAAAAACCTGTATCTTAAAATGTCATATAAAAGGACAAAGCAGTGCACAGAATAGAAATGTCCCTGGCAGGTAGCACTGTGTGGGACCTGTGATATATCTTTGTGTCATGGGGCAGTTAGGTACAAAGACTGCGGGGTGTGATCAACAACCAAACAAACATGTTGTCCTGAGGTTGGGGCGAGGAGGTGTACACAGAGCATCCATCAAACTACATCTGTGAGAGGCTGATACTGTACTGTTTGCTCTCACTGCACTCAGCTCAGCTCCACCTTACAACATCTCAGATGTAGGCTTTTAATTATCAGGTTACATATCAGGCCCAAGGTAATGATTGCTGGGCAAAGTGTAATGCAATCAAGGTACATTCACTTTTTCATAGTGAATATCATAAGCCATAAAGCGTTTTTGTGAGTAATAAGTTGTTTTTATTAAAAGGCATACAGTCCATTAAACAACATTTATTCTGAAACTCGACATACTGTGATTTCAGTCTTGTTGAAATAAGTCATTTACAAACATTATCTTGAAAATGCAGATACTGGCAGTGTTGTGAGAAGTATCCAGGGTATTTTACTTGAATAAAAGTGGTAACGTTAAAATAATTTAAAGAAATCCAAATGAAAGTCTTCTATGTCATTAAGGCAAAGGTACATCAGCATTAATAGGTTTCATTTTATTCACATGAACCAAATTCAAACTTATTTATTCACTATTCACCATAACACATTGTTAAATCAGTATGTTTTGCATTAAATATGAATGTATTGCTATTAACTATTCAATTTAAAGCAACTATATATATATCTAATGTTGTTTTATAAAATGCAGAGAAGTATGAAATAATATCATGTGAAAGACTTTAAGTTAAGTAACGTAATATAGTACTCACTGAGTGGTTGCACTTAGTTATTTTCTCCAATGACACATGGTTATACTTATCAGATTCTGACATTATTTAAAAAATTCAAACTGCCTTGTTAAAATTAATTAAAAAGCATTAGCTATATTAATGAATTTTGTGATTTAAAACTTTTTATTTCATAAGAACCTCAGCTGTCAAAAGTTGATTTATACATGGTAATTGTATAAATTTCCCTTAAAATCGAAGCTACAGTAACGAGACCTGCAGATCAGTTCTCAGAAAGAATATCGTGTCAGTTGTTGTTGCACGACCACACATTACATACTAATGCTTGTTTGGGTAACTCCTGGTCATCACAATTCAAACAAAGACAAACATTCACCTTGACATTTGGAAAATACCCTAACCATCTGCAGTACAGTACTTCACACAGGGCTCAGGGTCTGTAACGTTGGTCTGGCTGAACAGGCCCCCAGAGCAAATACACAGATAATATATAGCAGCTCTTTGTGGTCTGCAGTACCATTACCAATCTGAAAAGATGAAAATTATGTTTACATATGTTCCCACATGGCAGGGCATCAAAAATAAAGATGTTAAACAATAGGAAAAAGGTGATATCGGTGTTACTGCTTACAATAATGCACCCTAATCAATGGTAGCCTTCTGAATATACTCTATATATTATATATAATTATGTTACCAATTACTCACATTCATTAGGAGCTCAATTAAAGCAAAAATGTAGCCCACAGTCAAAACTGTAATTTGGCTGTGATTTACGCATATTTTTTACCTTTAATGCAGCCATTTTTGCTCTATCGGCTGGTGTTGTTATCTTACAAATGTAACGATAATCTTTAAACAAATACAGTAACTTATGTAGAATAAGAAGGGCAAAATAAAGCCTGCATGTGAATTTCAACTATGGACTGATCATAAATACTCATCATTAACAGTGTCAGAAAAACATTACCCTTTTTATTGGGGCTGTATTTTCCTCACACACTACAATAAAGTTAATGACAGACATTGTCTTAACCATAAAACAGTCATATATTCGGACGCTGGTCAGCTTCAACAGGCTCAGTAACATCTGGCTCATAAATCTTTGCCCTTGCCCGGTCAAGTATTATTGTCAGAGTGATTTGACTTGATTTAAAAACACAGATGTATGTCATGTTTCCACAATTACAGCTGAAAATAACTTGAATATCAGCCTTGTTACACATTTAACCATGCATGCTCTGAGGGCATTTGGTCCGAGAAATGTATGCTTAATGTTTAACATCGTGCTATATTTTATCTTGAATGAATGTTTTCATGAACGTTAACAATGAAAGCGCTGTTTGAGACGATGATATAACAAATAGAAAAAACAAAACACCGGCTTACAATACGATACAATAGCCCTCCAGTGAATATACAACTCTGTGAAGTTAATTTGCTCCACCTATTATGTGTGTTACTCTTTTCCTTTTCAGTATTGCAGCGCTTATGTCTGACTTTTTTGCCTTTCATATTTGCTATTTCTGTAAGCTGCCTTACTTTAAACACCAACTTATACAAATAAAGATGCTCTGCTAAAACTGAAAACATAGGCCTACTGTTTATAGTGTTGAAACTCACACTGTAGTTTTAATGTTTAGTATCAGTTACAATGTTGAATAACCTTGTCATGTGGCAAGGGGTTAAGTTGCAAAATTCACACTAGGGTGCCAAACAATGAAGAAATGCATTAAGAAACAGGAACTGTGTGTGGCTAAATGCATGCTTGTAGTGGTAAAAAAAACTAACCCCAAAAAACAATGCCTAGTGTCTGCAAGTCCTGGGTGTCCTTATAATATATCCATTTTGTTTTAAAGCCCATCCTCCTGTTTAGCCTATATTTGTATTCAGGGTTGTTATTTCATTTTGAATTGGCTTTGTTATGAATCTATACTCTAAAGATATACTGTCTCTTTTTTAATTGCAAAAATTGTCTTAAATGGTAGACCACCAACAGTTCACTTGATTAAAATAATATGTGTTTAAATAAACAGCAGACACAAAATTAGCAGTTGAGATCACAAATGGCCATCAAAATAAATCCACACCCAAAAAGCTACGTTGATTAACGTCAAGTGTGGGTAAAGCCTACTATAGAAGCGCACCCCATGTATGTGTGCTACTTGTAAACAGCACTCAGCTGGGTCCCTTGTAAATTCAATATCACATTTATTATTGAACTCTGCCTAAGCAATTCAATGGCTGGGTGAACAGCAACTGTTCTGTCAAGACTTTTATAACCAGTAGATGGCGCAAATTATAAAAACAATTCTCCCTTGTATTGCACAAAACTAGACAGCCAAAAGGAACAAAATGGGCGAAAACAACTTTATATATATATATATATATATATAAAAAATCCCTCATGTACATAATGTATGCATCATAAACTGCATGAATCACTGTAGCTTTCATGTACTAAAATGTGAGTTTTGATTATTTTCCAGAACAGACCAGGGAACCTGATGGGGATACTGGGAATAAAAGGATATGGGTAAGAACTACCATTCAGGCACTGTTACCTTCATAAGTGAAACAGGGTTGATGAGAATAATTTAAAAGATAGCTAAAATCATGGTTGTACATCCATTGGGAAATGACATGATGATACCACTCTTGTACAGTAGGTGGCGGTGTACACCTTTAAATTGTTTGCGATCCGCCAATAAAAAGAGAAGAGAAGAAGATGAAGGACTGAACAAAATTACGTGACACACTTAGCTAATCGGTGATGAATAGCAAAATGGAGGTGAGTTTTCGCAAATGTTGCACATTAAATACGGTTATTTAAAACGCATTAAAGCAATGCTTACTCTACAAAAATATGTATAACAGTGACGAATGAATGCAAGGTGTTGTGTTGAAACGTGGTGCTTTTCTGATGCTTAAACGTTGACCCAAAGTCATCGCTGTTTAAAGTAGCTAGCCTTGCAGCTAAGATAAGATAAAGCTGTTGTGTGACAGTTTAATTTGACTGTTACATGAACGTTGTTGTTGGCTTTCTTTGACAAGCATTTTATCAATATAATTAATAGATAAATTGTGTTTTTTGGTTATAACACGAGCCTCAACCTGCAGTTTTACTAAAGTAAGCTAACATAAACGCTAAGTCATTGCTGAGGCCCGTCAGGCTAACCCAGCTGTTGTCAACTGTAATCATTGTTAAAATAAGTGTTTGTTCGTGCACTGGGTTTTTTGACAACTTTATTTTACACTGCAATGATATATTCAACATAGCGCAGTCTGTCGCTTGAATGGTGACGGGGAAAATAAAAACAATGTATTAGCGATATTTGTGGCCATCTATCAATCCGCGAGAGAATCAGAATCCAGTGTATTGCTAGGTACATTTACACATACAAGCAATTTGCTTTGGTGTATCGTGGTGCTAACATAATCAACATAAGGAAATAACTTCCAACAGAAAAGGTCAAAAATTGTTCTACAATAAAAAAGAAAATATTAAATAAAAACTGTTGAAAAAAATAAATAATAATGGCACGTTTTACACCAAATATAAGTATACAAAAGAAACTAAAAATACAATTAATAAATGACAAGCTGCAGTATATTATATTTTACAGTTTGTTTGCAGGGTGGGAGGGCCACAATCTTCCCAGTAGAGGGTAGTAACTTCATCCATGCAGTAGTTATCGTACTTATTTCATGTAACACTATTTACAGCGGCAATTATATATTTGTCTTGTTATGCCTTTTTATAGGAGCGTGAAGCTAGAGAACCTGAGCAGCTCAGAAAGCTGTTTATTGGAGGTCTGAGCTTTGAAACAACCGAGGAGAGTTTACGGACTCATTTTGAACAATGGGGAGCTCTTACTGATTGTGTGGTACGTATATGTTTTGTTGTTATGTTTGGCATTATGGCCTCTACAATAAGAAACCATATTAATGTTCAAAGCCACCATCTTGTTAAACTGTTATCACCACCATTGTGTATGTCTTTGTTTTTTCTAGGTGATGAGGGACCCTAACACCAAGCGTTCTAGAGGGTTTGGCTTTGTGACGTATGCGGCTGTAGAAGAAGTCGACGTTGCCATGGCAGAAAGGCCTCATAAAGTGGATGGTCGTGTAGTTGAACCCAAGAGGGCTGTGTCCAGAGAGGTAAACAAATCCCCGTCCTGAAGGCAGAAACTATAGCCATGTTGGTGTTTGTTGTGTGCTCATTAAGGCTCTCTGTTTCAGGACTCCAATAAACCCGGCGCCCATCTAACCGTCAAGAAGATCTTTGTCGGTGGGATCAAAGAGGATACCGAGGAGTACCACATCAGGGAGCATTTCGAGAAATATGGAAAGATTGAATGCATTGACATCATAGAAGAGCGCTCCACTGGGAAGAAGAGAGGATTCTGCTTTGTCTCCTTTGAAGACCATGACACTGTGGACAAAATAGTTGGTATGTGTTTATATTTTAGAGTTAACACAGCTTTCAGACAACATTTAGTAATGGTATGTAAGTGTGTTGTTCTTGTTTTCCTCACAGCCCAGAAATTCCACACGATCAATTTCCACAATTGTGAGGTCAGAAAGGCCCTCTCAAAACAGGAAATGAGTACTATGTCCACCAGCAGGGGTAAGCACACCATAAATATATTCCCAATGAACATGTAATTAGTCTTTTCAGCCATCAGTTCATTGATGTTGTTAAGGGTTCTAAAATGACACATTTGTACATATCAGACAGGAGTGGAGGTTCTGGAAACTTCATGGGAAGAGGTAATTTTGGTGGTGGTGGCAACTTCAGTCGAGGTGAGTAGTAATTGAATGCCAGATTAAAGTTTCTCTGGCACCAATTACACAACAGCAGATGCATTTAATAGGGATGTGTACGAGGGAGAGTAGGTTTCAGGATCTAATTTGTGCCACCACAATGACGCACTAAAGAAAAATAAAAATGGTTGTATCTCTTCTCTTTTTTTAATGAATGTGGCGTAGCTATAACTATCTGGTAAAAGTGGTTGCTCAGCTTGGTGAAAGATCTGTTTTCAAACTGAATGTATCAGTATTGATTTTCATGTGCAGTTGCCATGCCTTAGACAGAGTTTCCAAAACACAACACAAATCTACAATACAGTTCTTCAGCTTTAATGCGTTACTCTATTTTACACTTGTGTTTTAGGAGGCTATGGTGGAGGACGAGGCGGTTATGCCGATGATTTTGACAATGGTGAGCTTTTTAAGAAAAAAAAAAAGAATCTACTTTTAGAATGAGGCGAAAGGAGTTTTATTTGAATGCCAAGCATGTCACAGTGATGAATATGAAATTATAAGGTTATGTTGTAATACGCAAGTAAGTTTGCTTTGTTTTTGACTGTTCCAGGTCCAGGAGGTAATTATAGTGGAGGACCAGGCTATGGAGGTGGGAGAGGGGGCTATGGAGGTGGTGGTGGTGGTGGTCAAGGGTATGGCAACCAGGGAGGAGGATATGGTGGAAACTGTGATGGAGGATACGGAGGCAATGACGGAGGTAAAATAACATTTAAAAAAGGTGTTGAGAATTGTGATTTGTTAAACTAAGGTTTAGATATTATTAGAAAACTGGCTGTACTAAACACCAGATTTAAAGACTTACCTTTTAACATGGACATTTATTTTTCAGGATATGGAGGAGGGGGAAATGACTTTGGAAATTATGGTGGCCAGCAGTCCAGCTATGGGGCCATGAAGGGAAACAACTTTGGTGGCAGAAACTCAGGTGCACCATATAGTGGTGAGTGTTACCACCCGACTCTCAAAATCAAGCATTTATTGACATAACACAATTTCTGCTGAAAAGTAGCCAACGTTTTTTGCGGGTACTGATCTGTAACTGCAGGCGGCCATGGATCCGGTGGCGGGGGCAGCAGCAGCGGCGGAGGAGGAGGGGGCTATGGCTCTCGGCGATATTAATTATATCATGTTTTGGTAAGTTGCATTCAGTTCAACAACACACTCGTAGCACAGTACAGACTGAGCCCTTGAAAGTGCAGATTAACTATTTGTTCTGTCCTGTATCCATTCAACAGGCTTCAGTTCTTAGCAGGAGAGGCGAGGAGATGAGAAAAGGAAATGTCAGGAAAGCCGCAGGTCACTTTGAGGCAGTCATCTGAAAGCATTAGAGGAACACTCAAGTCAGACATTACTGCAGCTAAATCGGAGAAGTTTATGGAAGAAGGACTGTATACACAAGACATGAGTGCAGATGATACTCCTCCCTAATTGTGATAGATGTTTCCCTACCAAGCTATTTTTTTTTCTGTGCGTATGAAGTGTGTATATTGTGCCTATGGTATGGGTGAAGACAATTGTTTTCTTTTTAAAGTTATTATGATTGCTCATTTGCAAGTGTCAAGTGTATTTTTTTTTTTTTTTATGTGAAGCACAGTATGTACATCCTTAGTATAACCAGTGTCAACGAACATAAGCAATCTGGATTAGAATCAAGGGAATCGCTCTCTTCTTTTTCCCAGCACACAGCATTTTAGATTGTTTTTGGATTAGAAGGAAAAAGACCAAATAAAATTGTTTAGTAAAGTGACAAGAGGTTCAGTGCATCATTGGTCCAGAAATAAATCACATGAGTTATTTATCTGTTGCCTGCACACATTTTGACTGAAGCCAGACAAATTCCACTGCCCAGAACCACTTCCTCCTCTTTTTGGGGACTATTTAAGACTTCTTTGGGTGAAATTGTAAATATACTGTATTTATTTGTACAAATGTCAATGACAAGGGAGTTTCTGGTAGTCCTAGGGCAAAGGCCCATACACCACCTATGCCAGTTTTGAGCGTGTAGGATTATAACGGCCACAAGCACCTGCAGTTGAGCCTTCAGCATCGCTAGTGTGGAAGATTGCAGATGACAGTCAGACAGGACGTCTGCAGCCCCCGCACAGTGGACCAGTCAGCATTTTGAGAGACAGAGAGAAGGCAGCATCGAGCACAACGCCCATGGAGGAAGCTTCTGATAGTGAGCGTCTATCTCTGTCAAGGCTAGCTAAACCCTCCAGCAGCTGGTGCTAGCGAAGAAAGAATAGTTCCTGGACACATTGGAGATCCTGTTGAGTCAGAGATACCGCAGTTTTACCCGAAAGTGCTAGATTTCAGACATTAACGAGAAAAGGGAGTGAGTATTTCACAAAAAGCTGACTTAAGAAGATGAAGCAGGTAAGAGTAACCACTTTGCTTGATTTGCAGATGTGGAAAAGAGGAATTCTCTTCTTGCTGAAAATCTGTAAAGACCTGATAACATGGAAGGTTCTGGATGGGTAAGACTTTTTTTCAAAATATTATCAAAGGCTGCTCATTATGTAATCTAACAGCGCAAATGGTAATCGCACCATGTGCAAAGGTTCTTTTAACGTAAATGGAGCAGGAGCACTTCAGGTATTGTTCTTCTTTGACCTGAATCAGCCTGTGACCTTCACCACAGCTGGACATATCTTGCAAGCAAAATGTTTTATTACCTTTGCTATCTGTCAGTCCTGATAAAGTTCATGGTGCTGAAACATCCTTAAGGGAAAACAAATGAGCATGCTCAGGAAAGAAACAATATTTACACTCCCTGGCCAATCTATTAGGCACACCTATATTAAACAATATCACAATTGAATAAAGCAGATCTACAATCAACTTACCTCAGTGTTAAACATATTGAATGAACAGCCTTGAGGTGATGTAAAAACTCCATTGAGAAAAAGTAGATGTCAAAACAGTTGTATAGATTTGCATTATATTGTATGGATGTACCTTTTTTATAAAATAGTCAGTGACCATTGTCGATATCAATGTCAAGCAATCACTTGCATCCTGCAGTGCTAATGCGCTTGGCAGTCTGTAAATAAATCTACGCATAACAGATTTTTAACTCGTAAATTAACTATAATTACTGCAAAGGCATGTCCTACAAAAAGGGCTGGTAATCGGCACGCTTATAAGCTGATTATAAAGCCATGTGAAATGTCTAAAAAAAGGGCTGGAGCACAAACACTTAAAAACAAAGACAATGGTTTAACTTGAAGACATGTTGAAAAGCAAATGTATTCAAAAATACTCTTAGTTGTCAAAGGAATAGTGTAGACAAATCTTACCTTTTAGCTTAAAAGGTTTTTCAGTAAATATTCACCGAATAAAGACGTGCTTGGCAGAAGCACCCCAGAGTCAGTTAACTATGTTGGCTAAACTGTAAAATGTGTAAAGTTTGACTTATGCTCTTAAAATAAAAATATTTTTCATGATTTGAGTCTTTTATTTCTGTATGCCATATACTGAGCTGTGCATTCCTGTTTGAACTGTTGTCAGTGGGAAACTGTTTCTATATTCACAGCCAGCCTTGAGTCTCACCAGGTTACCTTGCCACACAGCCTCTGATGTTTGTCATGATAGCAGTAAATGGGCTTGGTGATCAAAGGTGGTGTTTGTGTGTGAGAGTGCATGTAGAGCACATAGTGATTGCGTAGGCTTTATCTTTGAATATGCTTGTCCGGGTTGGCCCTTTGTGAAGTTGTCATGCATGGCTCAAACAGAGCATAGTATGCTGTGACTCCACAATTGTACTCTTTGTTGCGTCACAATGAATGCAGTGGGTGTGATTTCTTGTGCAACTGGAGTTTCACAGTATTAAAAGATTTAGGTTACTGTACAAACAAGCTTGCTCTTATAAAAGAAAACCAAGCAGATTGTAAAAAGTGGTTTAAGCCAATAACTCGTTCAGTACAATATTTCTTTTCTTTGCCTCTTTTGCAACCCTTGGGTGAGCCTTCAAGTCACAAACTGACTTGAACATGTGGTAAGTTATGCAATAATTCCTTAGACTATATATCCATCTGGCATCAATCTGTTGCACACCACACAATGTTCTTTGAGTAAATGGGACGCTTTAAAGCAAAAGGAATTCTTTATTGAAAAGCACAGATTTTATAAAAGAACCTGGGAAGCAAATCATAAAAGGGACAGTTATAAAATATGAGTAACAATGATTGAAACAATCATTTAGCATACAGAAATATAATATATACAATATATATATACACATACAGTAACGGTTTATCAATCTCAAAAGAAAGTAATGTTTATATTTACAAATAATATTGGTTAAAGAATCTGTTGAACATATCAGAGTACAAAAGAAGTAAAATATCAAAAATATTACAACATTCAAGAGAAGTGCGCAAAAACTATACAATAGTTCTGCTGAGCTACTAGTGCTTTAAAGCTTTACGACTACAAAGTTATTGCATAGTATTACTATGATAATGCAGTACCATATTACAAAGGAGAGAAGAGGTTGTCTTCAGTCTTGATGAAAGTCTTTTTGATGCGAGGAACGAGGAAGACGCTGCCGTCAGTGGACTGCTGGAGGGAGTATTCGGAGGGAGAGTAAGAGTTCCCCTTCTCATCTCTCAACATGCTGAAGACCTCCAGGTACAAGCTGTTGAGTTGCTGCTTCATCTCCTTCATGTTTGTGATGTTCTCGCTCTTCTCACTCAGCAGAAGCTCCTTCTCGTCCTTCAGTGAGTCCAGGTTGCTCTCCAGACCCACTATGTTCTCCATCTTGCGTTTGCGGCAGTTCTGGGCAGCGACCTTGTTTTTGCCGCGGCGGCGTATGTCTCGGACCAGGGCCAGCTGGGCCTCATTCAGTTCGTGCTTTGACATCAGCTCGTTGAAGTCATCAACAGGCAGATTGATAATCATGCTAACCGTGAAAGGGATTTTGAGGGCCTTGGCCCTCTGCTCGTCTCTAGAGAGACGTACTTCCGAGCGTTTCTTCTGCTTGTCTTTGGCGAAGGGGGCGCTGTTATGCCCGCCGTCCTCTGCTGGGTCCGTCCTGTATTGTTTGGGATTCTTCTCCTGTTGTGTTTGCCCTAGCGGTGCGGACACAGAAATTGCAATCTGATGATCATCAGGTTGGAAATTGAGTGAGAACATCTCTGAGTAGTCAGATTCTGCACTTCCAGGATTGTCATCCATCTCATCCATGTCTGAATCGCTGTAACCATAGGAGTCATTGCCATACACAGACTTCCCAGGGGAACTAGCATTGGGGCTGGTGTTTGAAGAGATTCCTGAATCCGAGTCTGGCAGTTCTACCATTGGACTGTGTTTACCTCTGTCAAACGCATCTCCTGGTGAAAGGCTGTAAGGGTCCAATGGGGTGAAGAAAGGCTTGTTTGGGATATCAGGCATGGCATTACTTTGATTTTCTTTGAGGCCATGTTGACCACTGCTCTCTTCCAGAATGACATCGGGGTAGTATATCTCACAGAAACTTTCAGCAGTTAAATTAGCATTCAACTGAGGAGCGTTTGCCCTTATCTGGCCGAGATTCTCTGCTGGGGCCAAATTGTGAATAGAGCCATCAAATGTATTCATAAACTCAACAGGGCAGACACTTAAACTGTTGGTTTTGTCTGGGAGATTGGTCATGGGGTAAAAACTGTAGTTTGGATCCTGAACTTCAGGGCTGTTTGGAAGTGGATAAGTTGTGGTCTCAAGTGTGTCCTCCATCTGCATGCTCAGGCATTGCTGGAATAAAAGATAAAGGACCATTAAAAAAAAAACATTAAATGTTTCACAAATCTGCTTTGTTGACAATGCAAATATTGCTTGTGTTGTTGTTGTTGCATATATAATATGTACTGACTGACATAAAAGCATACTTAACTTAATATCTTCCCAAATAATAATAATTTAGTCTTGGGGGCTTTAAGTTAACTAGTATTTCACTGACAAATGCTAGTAGCCAATTGGTCAAATGTATACGAAATCACCAATACCAATCTCCCAATTTGCTGTTGCTGTGAAGTTACACGAGTACATTATCTTCCCAAAGCAGCTTACAAAAACAGAAACAACCACACAACCTTTTTTTCCCTACAATGTAAAGTCTTATCAGCAGCTTGCCAGAGAACCTAATGCAATGCTTTGTAAGCTGCATGGTTGGGATTTAGTTAGTTTAGTTCAGAGTGAGAGGTCAAGGCAACAAATGGCACACTGCTCCACCCATCAGCTAATGCAAATATGAGCTGCCTCAAAAAAAACCCGATAAGGTAACTACTGAAAAACTGCAGGCACACTTTTTTATGTTGCTGCCAGAATGTTAACGCTTTAGGATTAGCGCACCCTGTCCTAACAAGATTTCTTCTTTTCTGCTTAATGAATCTAGTGGTTGTTAATCATAGAAACAACAACACATCTCAAACACCCAACTCCCTAATTCTTTAAAAAGTCTTAACAATGAAACCTTATAACAGAGGAATGAGCCGGGTGCACCTGTGTGGCATGTATGAGACCCCATTCCCACAGAGCAACAAAAAGGTGTTTGTCCTCTAATGCTGGGCTCCTGCCCGCTGATGCATTCTTTGGGTATTTGTTCCACAACAAAAAACACCCTGCCATTGAGGTGGTAGAGTCAGTGTATTATACCTGCAGCTCAGGGAGGGACAAAAGCTCCATCCAGGCCTGCTCCAAATCTGGGGTGACCCTCTGTGGTGGTGGTGGTGGTGGTAGTGGAGCAGGGGAGAGGGTGGCCGGGGGCAGAACCGGCTGCTCGGGGGGCATCATGGGGGCTGAGACAGCAGTTGTGTCCAGGCAAACTGGGGTGTTCTGTACAAGAAAGGGAAATATGTCTTTAAAAAAAAACATTTTAAAGGCTGAAGTCCCATGTGGGGTAATTATCCAATGTTTTTACCTCAGTTTCCTCTACAGGAAATGTCTCTGCCAGTAGCTGCAAACATTCATCGAACGACATGGCATCACCGCTCTCTTCTGTGTAGCTGACATTCTGCAAGACACGGTAAAAACATGTTCAGTTTTAACACATAGCATCCTTTGCAGCTCACCATCTTTTAAAAACATTACATGGCTTATAGAAGTTATTTCTCTGTTGAGTTGTTTCTTGAGCAGAATAAACCGATGCAAAGCTACAGACCCACCTGTGTTTCTGTAGTTACACAGGATGAGTGGTTACTTAGCTACGGCATAGCCACAGCCTATCAAACGATGTGGGAGTGGTCCAGCTCTGACATGAGTAATGATGGCAATGTGCGTGTACCTGTGTAACCTCTAGAGGTGTGACAGCCGACTGCAGCGGGGCGCTGGGTGGCGGGCAGGGGATGTACTCTCCCGTTTCCTCGTCGAGCTGAAGCTGTGCCAGCAGGGCCTTCTGCTGCTCCCGCACCAGATGCTGCGTCTTCTCTTCTTCCAGCTCCCGTTGCCTCCGCAGCTCATGTTCTTTCTGACGGTGATTGTAGTCAAACACCTCACGCCTGGCTCCGAGATCAATGTCCTGGTTCCACAGTATGTCGATCAGCTCCATTTCCTAAAGAAGAGAACCACAGATCATGTTAGAGAGTCGTGAGCCATGCTGTCCTGCAGTGAGTGTGAGCAGCATTGGAGCAGAGAGTGCACTGCTGTGGAGCGTGGCTGCTGCACCCGCCACACCCTGTCCCTCAGTATCTCTGCACTGACAGCAACACTGGCACTAAAGTCAAGGGGGAGAAGCCGCATGAATAATACATGCACTTCTCCGTTTCCCCTGCTGCCATCATACGCCAGCAGAAGACACCTATCCGCACTTGATACTCTTTTCAAAG